TAAGTAAGTAAATTGGTGTCTAGCAAAATGTCGGATGATAGTTTGCGCGCGTGTAACCGTGCTCGTATATTTATGTGTATGTATGTATATATATATATATATATATATATATATATATATATGTATGCATGTGCGTGCGTGTATGTGTGTATGTGTGATCTGTTTGCGAAGTGGGAGAAGAGGTTGAACGTAGCCCGTGGGACGCCAAGCCGCCAAAGAGTCTGGCAAGAAGAGGAAATGGGCGCCACGACGTCGCACCGATCTGGCTACGCGAACGTAGCCAAATGCTTCGCCTCTTGGAAGATACGAGGTCATGATGTCGCAACGAGAGAGAGAGAGAGAGAGAGAGAGAGAGAGAGAGAGAGAGAGAGAGAGAGAGAAAGAGAAAAAGAGAGAGAGAGAAAAAGAGAGACACCCACGTACACACAAATACATATACACAAACGCATTTCTTCTCTGTTTCTAACAGCTTCACTCTTGCTCTACTTATGTGTATATATATATATATATTCCTTTAAGCACATATATATATCTATGTATCTATGTATCTATGTATATATGTGTTACATACTGACATCTTTGCATTGAAAGAATTAATTATTCGAATTCGTGACCGTAAAAGATGTGTATCACTCTATTAAAAAAATACAAAATGGCGAGCACGATGACGTTATTTCTCTCTTTCTTTTTTTTCCTATTTCTCTCTCTCTCTCTCTCTCTCTCTCTCTCGCTGACACAGACACATTCCGATTTTTATCTCTCTTTCTCTCTCTCTCTCTCTCTCTCTCTCTGTCTGTCTTTCTCTCTCTCTCTTTTCCTCTCTTATTTTTATATACTCGTAGGAATATCATATAGAGATGAGGTAGCTGACTTTATTTATATTTCTCTATGATATTTAACTTTGCCTCCTGAGTCACATCCCATATTATATATCGTTGCTAAATGTTTCTTCTTTCCTTTTCTTTTTCCTTCTCTTTCTTTTTTCCTTTTCTCTCTCTCTCTCTCTCTCTCTCTTTCTCTCACCATTCCTCTTCTTCCGTCTATTTCGTGTTCTTTGCTGTTTGAATATTTTTGAACGTTTGCTTAAAATATTATTTGATGAGAAAAGAAAATAAGAAAAAAAAAAAAAAAGGAAAATAGAGACTAAGTAATGTCGTAGATATGCTTTTAGATAGATACCATGAGAAAAATATTAGTGTACACGTGTACGTGGGAAGAGTGGGGGGAAAAGGGGAAAATGAAATATCACTTAATTAAGAATAATTAAATAAAAACGTCGAAATATCGGAAATATAAATATAAAAATGAGCATTAGTTTTGTTAACTTTAGGGACTTTTTATTGGTGATTTATCTATCTGGGAAGAACTTTTCAACAAGTTTATAATATAGGAACAAGATGAAATTGCGACACGCGAAAGTCGGTCGTAGTCGATCCTTGGAGTGAACGGGACGAGGGGGACGGGAGGAGGATTGCTTTCGTTCGTTTCTATCGTGAAAAACTAAAAAAAAACTTTCGATATAAAGTCTGCCTGGGTTCTACCCGACCTATAACGATTAATTCCAACTTCTTCCTTCTGTTTCAAACTCTTTCTCTTTTTCTTTCTTTCTCTCTCTCTCTCTCTCTCTCTCTCTCTCTCTCTCTCTGTCTCTCTCTGTCTCTCGAACATACACACACGCATTATTTTCTCTTTTTCCCTTGGTTTTTCTCGTAAAACAAGGAAAATAAATGTACCTGAAATAAACTTCTCTGATATCGTGCTTTTCATCGCAGAAAATAATATAATCCGTGATAGATTTTATTTCGAACGAATTATTTACGTACAACCCTTTCTCTCTCTCTCTCTCTCTCTCTCTCTCTCTCTCTCTCTCTCCCTATCTCTCTCTTTCTCTTTCTCTTTGTTTCGTATATACTACAGAGTGATTGTGATTTTGACTATGATTGGCTTTACAAGTGATTTTAAAAGTCATTTTTCTTTTTGTTTTCTTTTTCTTTTTTTTTTTTTTCTTCTAGATCGCGAAATCACAAGCCCGGATTTTTAAAAAATCGGGACTTTTTTTTTCTCTTCTCCGGGGACTTCTTTTTTTTAGAATAATTTTTAGTACTTTTCCTTTTTTTTTTCTTTTCCTTTTTTCTTTTTTTTTTTTTTCAGATCGTACAATTACAAGTCTTAGGTTTTAAAAATTGTAATCACTCTTTTTCGAAACTTTTCAGGCTATAATTCCTTTTTGCTATCTTTTTCTTTTTCCCGATTGTAAAATTACAAGCTTAGATTGAAAAATATTAAAAACAAAAAAATTAATAGTAAAAAAAAAAAAAAAAAAAAGAAGAAAAAAGAAAAAAGAAAAAAAAAGGAAAAAGAAAAAAGGAAAACAAATAGGTACTTTATTTTTTTTCACTTTCATTTTGTTTATTTTTTCTTGATGAAACACAGTGAAATGATGAAACACAATCAAAGCCTCTAGGAACTTTTGCACCGTATAGGAACTTTTGGCTATTACCATATACATATGCATATTGTATAGTCTTTGTTAAAACTTTTTCTCTCTTTTTTTTTCTCTTTTTCTTTCTTTTTTCTCTTCTTTCACCGTGAGAGTTCTCAGGCATTCGTTTTCATCTACGTTTTAACATGCATCGTTTTGATCTACGAATTTTGCATCCAACGCGTGTATCGCGTCACCGAACTCTCTTTTTCGTCGAACGGTATATATATATATATATACATATATTATATATATATGTATATATACATATATTGTTCCCTCTTTCCCTCTTTCTCTCTATCTTCCTCTCTATTCGTTTTTTCTTTTTAATTTATAATCTCCATATTCGAGGTTGTTATACTCGTACGTTCATAAATACAACATATTTGCACGCTTTTGATATTGAAATAATGTTCTCTCTCGACTAGCGGTACTTCTCTTTGTGTTTGCAGCAAAACATTATCGAACGAAGTTAATTGACGAATTGTATGAAACTTCCTTCCTTCCTCATCGTCTGATTGGTAAATATTTATATAAACAAAAAAAAAAAGAAAAAAAAAAAGCCACAATATAGCCATAACTATATAATTGTAAAAAATATTCCATTAATCTTTCGTAAGAGTTGAAATCTCTTTTATTTTTTCTTTCGTCCATAAAAACTTTAATTATCATATATATTTAATTATTATATAATGAATACTTTATATGGTATAGTTTATATTAAACAAAAATTGTTATGGTATAATTCGTGCTATATAAAAATTATTATATCATATAAGAATTGTATTAAACTAAATATATATATATATATATATATATAAAATAAGAGAAGAAAAAAGAAAGAAAGATTAAAGAAATATTACATTCAAAGTTAGCATTTGAACGATTAGACAGTTAAATTAAACTTTGAAATTTAGACATTATAGATGATTAAGAATATAATATATATAATTTTACGTATAGCATAGAGAGTATTATTTTGAATTTTTCCTCTTTTTTCTTTTCTTTTTTTTCTTTCCTTTTTTCTTTTTTTTTTTTCTTTTTTTTTTTTCTAAATTCCACACACGTTCAGGATCAGCTGTTATTATATTGAATCGACGATGTCTCTGGCTGATATAAAGAAACGGACGATCGAACGACTGAATGAATATGTATAAAAAAAGATAAGTGTGTATACAGTTATGTCTAGATAAATATATATATATATGTATGTATGTATATATACACGTGTATTTTGAAAAACGTTCTTCTCGATTGTCAATCAATATGTACTTCTCTCTCTCTCTCCCTCTCTCTCTTTCTCTCTTTCTCTCTTCCCCTCTCTCTTTCTCTCTGTCATTATTAATTCCACTGCAGTTTTCCTTGCAACCGTTCACGTTCAATTCTTACGACAATGACGACGACAACGACGACGACGACGACTATAATTTCGTTGATATAATATCGCACCTGCGTTACCATGAACGTGAAACACAATGGAATATACATAAGGAAAAGATCATGAACAAGTTTCATATGATTGTTTACAAAACGTTATAACGTTAAATAATTGTTTATAAATTTTATAACGTTAAGATCGAACGATTTATTTATCGTCATAGATTTCTATTTTATTCGCAATTTCATTGCAAATATATATATATATATATATATGTTTTTTTTTAATTTTAATATCACATTAAAAAATATAATTATTCGATTTGTTCGTCGGTATAGAATGAATCCATTGATATGAAATTACTATTTTTTTTTTGGTTTTTTTTTTCTTTTTTTTTTGGAATTTTTCTATCAGTTCTGTTATCTCAAGTATTCATTTATTATATTTTATTACATATATTTAATAAAAGAAATTAGTAGAAAGAGAGAGAAAGAGAGAGGAAAAAAAATAATATTGAAAAATAATTATAATAAATTATTTATCGTATTTTAATTTTTATTATTATTATTATTATTATTATTATTATTTAAATTGTTATTATATATTATCGAAAAATAATTATTATACTGTAGTATAAAAAGAAAAGTACTATAAAAGTAATAATAATGATAACAATAATAATAAAATATGTCAATTATTTTCAAAGTATATTTGAATAAATGGATATGAATATACGATAGATGTCGAAATTATTGTAGTATAAATGAAATTATATTTGTATATGGATGAATAGTTCGAGATATCAGAATAAAAATAATAAAGATCAAATCGTTATCAGTTTAAGATAAATTAAAAATATAATTGTAGTGCGAAAAATTAATTAAAAAAAAAAAAAAAAAAAAAAAAAAAAAAAAAAAAAAAAAAAGAAAGAAAGAAAGAAAGGAATAAAAAAAAAATACGACGAAAATTTACTAAGAGATAAAAACGACGTCGAGAAAAAAGAAAAAGAAAATGAAAAGGAAACAACGATTGACGATACTTACGTGTTACTTAATATTTAATAAGTACGAGGTAATAATAATAATTAAAAAAAAAAAAGAAAAAAAAAAGAAAAAAGAAATTAAAAAAATTTCTACTCACTCTCCAACTCGTTCACCGTTCCAGCAATGTTTATCGGGATGTTCCTCGCAGATAGTATCGGCGAGGGTGCCATAGAAGGTGCGAGACCTGGCCACGCTGGCCAAGAAATTTCCCAATTGGGTATGCAATTTGGTGGGTAGTGTTCTGTGCGTTGTAGATGACGATGACGGTGGCAGTGCAGCTGCGTGCATCTCGAGACTTGCCTCCGATGATCTCTCAATCGTATCTTCGGTTATTCCACTGATTTCGGACGATGGTGATTCGACGTCCGAACGACCGCATAGTTTTCGTACCTGTAAAAATGAAATATCCTTTATGAATTAAAAAGGAAGAAGAAGAAGAAGAAGAAGAAAAAAAAAAAAGAAATTAAATTAAACAGATATAATTCGAACGAATTTAATTATTATCGTTTAAAATATATATTAGCGTTTAATTCGATACATTTCCTTTAATAATAACGTAAGAAAATTCGTAAATAAATTTTTATTAATCGATCATGTTAAAATATTGAGATTATTTTTAATGAAAGAACTTTCGAAGTTTCTACATCTTTTTATAAATTATTAAAAATTTTTTTTATTAGAATTTTTATTTATTATTTATATATCTACATTTTATATATATTAATATAAAAAATATAAACATATATATATTTATGTACAAACTATATCTATACTGAAATTATTTTCGACACATAATACATACACATAGACGCACAAACACACACACAATAAATATATGTAGTAAACATATAATAGTAGATAAAAATGAAAGCAACAAAATTATATGAAAATTAAAAAAGAAGATTTTAATTTCCACATAACAATTCCGCCAGGATGTTTTTCATTATAAAAAAAAAAAAAAAAAAAAAAAAAAAAACCCAGTATGCGTGCATGTGTGAATTCTCTATATACGAGGATTCTCGTAACTTTAGCATTATGAAGTTTAAATAGAAGAATTAAAGTAAGAAAAGTTGAAAAGTTAAAACCATTCTGAGGGATCATATGAAGTAATTAAGATGGTAGTATGCGTGGGCGTGTAAATATTGTTCTTACTCATCTTCTATCATTTCTCTCTCTCACTCTCCCCCCTCTGTTCTCTCATAGTACCCACTTTTCGTTTAACCTTCGACTCTCTCAAGGGAGGACGAATAAGAAGGAGACGGATTATACCCTTGACCTGTTCTCCTCTATGAATAAATGGACAACTACAACGATAATATGAATTGGTTCCGCCTCCGTGTCTCTTGGACTACGTAAGATTAGAAGATTATCTTTTAATTGGTAAAACGTATGATACTACGACGATATAAATACATACATTCTCAAACTTATATGCATACATACAAAGAGAGACAAAAAGAGAGAGAGAGAGAGAGAGAGAGAGAGAGAGATACATATATACAGGACGAGTCAAAAGTCCAAAAAGTAATTTTAAAAATTCATTAGATAAAACTAACTCTTTTTCGCGACTCTTCAAACTTTTACATACGTTTAGAACTTATAGTATTGCAATCTGAACGTAAAAAAAAAAAAAAAAAAAAAAAAAAAGATTAAAGAGAAAAAAGAAAGAAAGAAAAGAGAATTATTTTATTCTGCAAAAAAAAAAAAAAAAAAAAAAAAAAAAAAAAAAAATCTCGTAAAAGTATATAATCGGATTTGTAAAAAAAAAAAAAAACAACATAAAAAAAAATAACGCTTAAGAAAACTTATCTTTCTCCATTTAAAGACAATCAAAATGTTTCAGAATTTTTGTCTCATCCTATAGATACACGGATGTATCAGTTTTGTATATATATATATATATATATGCATAGGATCCTACCAATTTCGACAGTCTCTTTCGCATCTTAATGGCTAATAACGAATATTCTCTTTCTCTCTCTCTCTCTCTCTCTCTCTCTCTCTCTCTCTCTCTCTCTCTCTCTCTCTCTTTCTCTCAACGTTTGCATACGCCCAGTGAGATTTCCGTTATCAATTTCGCAGCCTTAGCCACCGCTTACGAGTGGTTAAACTCGCTTCGGTCAAAAGCGATTAGGAAGCTCTGAAACTCAAATTACGTTTTAACAAGCTTGTATCTCTGTCTATCCTCTCTAACCTTTCTAACTAACTATCTCACTCATTTGCACGTATATTTCTCTCTTTCCCTCCCTCTCTCTCTCTCTCTCTCTCTCTCTTTTTTTCAAAGCTTACATTCGCGATGGAAAACGGCCGAGGATATTAGTGTCATAAAAAGAAAAAAGAAAAGAAAAAAAGAAAAGAAAAAAAAAAGAAAAAGGAAAAAATAAAGGAAAAAAAAAAAGAAAAAAAAAAAAAAAGAAAAAGAGTTTATAACGAGTAAACCGAATTAACCGAATTACTTTGTCCTATACCAAGGGACATACTTAATTGAATATATTTTTTTGATTTTTTTCTTTTAATTTTTTTCTTCCCTTATATATATATATATATATATATATATATCTTTACTCATTATTTCATACTCATCCTGGTAAACATTAAAAAAAGAAAAAGAAGAAAAAAAAAAGAAGCATAGAAAAGAAAAAAAGAAGGAACAAAAAATTACACTTTACTCTACCGTGACTCTTTGACCCTATCACCTCGCCTCCCAACCCCTGACAGCCTACCGCAAAAAAGAAACAAAAAAACAAAACTAAACAAAAAAAACAAAAAAAAAAAAAAAAGAGAGAAAACAAGAAAAACCAAGGAAAAACACAATCACGTAAAGTGGAAATTACGTATTGCAAACATCAATCTTTGAATAAATGAATTAACGATTAATTGTATCTGGCAAATGAATGAACGAATAAATGAATGAATGATAGAAATAAAATTTTAGACAATACACGTAGGTATTATATGTATATATTTTACGTATACATGTATTCTACGTTTATCTAATTAATGTGACTTTTGAGAGTTAGATGGTTTAATTTCAATTGTAAATATTTATCAAGCGAATACATAGGTGTATCGACGTATTGTCGATCGAAAGGGGGATGAACTGAGTGGGGAAATTTATGGAGAGAAACTAACGCACGAAATTGACGCCTATTTTCCATAGTAATCAATATTGAAGCGTTCCCGGATTCGAGCAAATACATGACAAATCAAAAAAAGTAACTGGGTCATTTCAAGGAAAAAAAAGAGAAGAAAAAAAACAAAAAAAAAAAACAAAAAAATCGTTTCTAGATAATTTCGGGCATTTTTTTCTCCTGATTGTTTCTTTTTCTTTCTTTTTCTTTCTGTTTTCTTTTTTTATTCATCAAATTATATATCTAAAAGCTTAGGTATGAAAAATGATATCGATAATTTTCGTTAATCCAAAAGTTTCACGAGATGTTTTCTCGTGTAATTGTTAATTTAAAAATTGTTTAGTCAACATTTTTTATGACATCATTCTCAAAATACTCGATCGAGGATAACTTTTATAAATCGCATAATCTTATTTATCTGAAAACATTTCGAGTATGTAGAAACATGCGTATGCATGTAAGTTATTTATATATCATACATATGTCTTGATAAAAAAAAAAAAAAACAAAAACCAAAAAAAGAAAAGGAAAGGAAAAACAACAAACAAATATTTTTATGAGATTGTGACAGTGTCAACAATGTTTCCAGTTAAAAAAGAAAAGTAAAAAAAGTAAAAAAAGAAAAAGAAAAAACAAAAAAAAAAAAAAGAAAAAAAAAAAAAAGAAAAAAAAAACGGAATTCGTCAGTTTAAAAAAGTCCAAATGAAATTAATTCATTTGTACGTCAATAATATATCGCGAGTATTTTAAAAGGATTTTCAAATCGAGATAATATTTTTAATCGATTCAATCGAATCTCCAACGTTTACTTTTTCTTTTCCTTTTTTTATTTTATTTTCTGATGATTTTTCTCTCTCTCTCTCTCTCTCTCTTATCTTTTTTTTGATCCTCGAAAAAAAAAAAAAAAAAAAGAAGATTGTTGCACGAAAACGTCAGGAAAAAAATAAATCGATGATATTATGGTATAACGAGTATATTTGCACTCTCAGTTTAGGATGGGTCTTTCATCTATCGACGACGTAATATCGTGAAATTGCTGCCGTGTTATCCGGACGTGGCTCGCGACAAGGCCTATTATCGAGATAATAACGAGAGGGTGATTCTCTCTCTCTCTCTCTCTTTTTCTCTTTTTTCTGTATCTCTCTCTTTCTCTCTTTCGTACCCTCTTATCGGGCTCATGAATCTCTCGAGCCGTCTACGTTCGTTCACAAGGAGAGAAAGTAAAATCGCGAATTCAAGGTAGGGTAGTGCGAACGAGTGGGGGAGGGAAGGGGGCTATAGCTTTCACGGTCATGTAGGAGGAGGGCGAAGAGTATAGAAAGAGAGACAGAAACAGAGACAGAGAATGACTAAAGGATGTATATGTATCTTTCACTCTTTCTCTCTTCCTCTCTCTCTTTCTCTGTATGTGTCTGTGTGTGTGGGAGAGGAAGAGAAAAAGAGAGAGAGAGAGAGAGAGAGAGAGAGAGACAGAGAGAGAGAGAGAGAGAGTAGGATCGATATACGTAGACGAATCGTGTGATATCTCTCTCTCTCTCTCTCTCTTTTTTCTTTTTTTTTCTCTTTCTCTTTTTCTTTTTATTTTTTCACAAAACAATACACACGCACGTACGCACCAACCCAACCAACCACGCACGCACGCACGCACGTACGTACGTACGTATAAATCGTGAGGAAAAAACGAGAGAGAGAGAGAGAGAGAGAGAGAGAGAGAGAGAGAGAGAGAGAGAGAGAGAGAGAGAGAGAGAGAGAGAGAGGGAGAAAAAAAATTGGAGAACCTACAAGGGGTTAACCAGCGATGTGAATCTAGTGTCGAAGTCTCGAGATAGCACGATATCGATAACTATCGATGGGGGTGAACGAGTTCGAGGGTTGACTCGATTTCACCTTTTCCCCTTATTCGTTTATTAACAGTTGGATATCGAAAGGAAATCTTATGTCTCGAGTAATACGAGAACTATGTTCCTTTTCTTTTTTCATTTCTTTTTCCCCTCCCTCCACTCACTCTCTCTCTCTCTCTCTCTCTCTCTCTCTTACTCTCTCTGTTTTTTCTCCTTTTCTTTCCTATTTCTTTTCTTTTTCTTTCTTTTTGGTTTTAGTTTCGTCATCCAACATTCTCTCTCTTCCTCCCCCCCCCCTCAACCCCCCCCTCTCTCTCTTCTCCCGTTTTCTTTTCTATTTATTTCTTTTTTCTCCTTTTTTTCCTTTTGGCTTTGGTTTTACCATCCAACATTTTCTATCTCTGTCTCTCTTTCTCGT